AATCAAACTTGAAAGTACCACATTGCTATCGGGTGTCTCAAAGCGAACAGCGCAGCAGTTATTTTCATGCCCATAGATTTTAAAATAAATATGTTATATGATGGTTAATAATGACAAAAATTATGTTTCATAATTGTGTATTTGGTAATAAACAACAACATAGAAAGTGGTTAAAAGTTTCATTTTTAGAAATTTCAGAATAATGATTTATTTTTCGTTTTGCGATCATCTATTTAAAACTTCTCTCCCTTTTAAAATATTTTGAATATATGATAACATAAATTTGATAACTGTAAATATTCAAAATCACGGAATTGAATTAGAACCAATCATCGCGTGTGCAAAACAGTATTATTATAAACATATTGCATCAGCTCTGTGTACAGACTAATTTTGTCACATATTATCTCATATGCGTTAAACTTTAGGACAAGACGTTAATATTCAATGTGAACTCAATTAAAACTCGAGTTATATTTGTGGATGATAATAAATAATATAATATATATAATTAACGCCAATATACCTACTTGTATTTATACATGTGACGTCATACTTAGGTCAATAGGTTATGCGGGAGTGTGGGTACACGCAATGTATGACATCCTAGCTCATTACAATTATTTGTGTGTCAAAGTGTATCTGTGTGGACCACGTATATGTGTTCAAGTGTGTATTCGTGTAATCGTTAATGCGCCCATAACTGGGTCACTTTCTTCACTTTGTACGATAAACATCTTTTCCGACGATGTTTTCCAACCAAGACTACTCGATTCCCGGTGTATCGTCAAACCAGACTCACTCTACCTTATGGTCTTTCACCTTCAACGTTGTCTTTGTTATTTTATCCACCTTGATTATATGTGTGTGAAAGTTTATCTTCATAGACAATCATATACTATATATTAAAATGCAAGAGAAATCATGTTATGTTAATACATGCGTGATTCGAACTGGCGACTCAAATTTATGAACTTATTGTATACTAAGAAGGCGCAACTCAACAACGCCAATTGATTACACGCATCATACCAGCAGAGTTTTCCTTATCTCATTTGTCATCTGTCGTACTGCACATTTAGGTGGCAATGTGTATTGGAGTGTATCTATAGAATAAAAAAGATTTTTGCTGTATTGATATGTTGATATACTGTTTGCTGTGTGAATATAATGTTAGATATGTTTATATAATGTTTGCTGTGTTGATATAATTTTTGATATGTTGATATAATGTTTGCTGTGTGGATATAATGTTTGATAGGTTGATATAGTGTTTGCTGTGTTGATATAATGTTATGTTGATATAATGTTTGCTGTGTTGATATAATGTTTGCTGTGTCGATATAATGTTTGCTGTGTCGATATAATGTTTGCTGTGTTGATATAATGTTTGCTGTGTTGATATAATGTTTGATAGGTTGATATAATGTTTGCTGTGTTGATATAATGTTTGCTGTGTGGATATAATGTTTGATATGTTGATATGTTTGCTGTGTTGATATAATGTTTGATAGGTTGATATAATGTTTGCTGTGTTGATATAATGTTTGCTGTGTGGATATAATCTTATGTTGATATAATGTTTGCTGTGTTGATATAATGTTTGATAGGTTGATATAATGTTTGCTTGTGTTGATATAATCTTATGTTGATATAATGTTTGCTGTGTTGATATAATGTTTGATAGGTTGATATAATGTTTGCTGTGTTGATATAATGTTTGCTGTGTGGATATAATGTTATGTTGATATAATGTTTGCTGTGTTGATATAATGTTTGCTGTGTTGATATAATGTTTGCTGTGTTCGATATAATGTTTGCTGTGTTGATATAATGTTTGCTGTGTTGATATAATGTTTGATAGGTTGATATAATGTTTGCTGTGTTGATATAATGTTTGCTGTGTGGATATAATGTTTGATATGTTGATATGTTTGCTGTGTTGATATAACGTTTGATAGGTTGATATAATGTTTGCTGTGTTGAT